CTTATGTGGAGCAGGACAGCCCCGACGCTCCCCCCCAGCAGACCAGGGAGACACGGAGCAGCTTTTCTCGCCCCGGAGGACGCGGGCGGCGGGACCGCGGTGCATCTGGGCGTCCCGCCGCTCCCGTCCTCCGGGGCGAGAAAAGCCCCATTCGTAACTGCGGATCTGACATAAGTCGGATCCGCGTAACTCAGGGACTGCCTGTAGTTTGAGAATTCTTGTACGCACTCACAGTAATTCTATGAAAAACAAAGGGTTTAAATATTGTCATTTGTTTTAATGGAATAAGAGCTCTTGTATAATTTTATTATATAACTCCTTGTTGCATTTAGAAATTAGAATAGCTTAGCATTCAGACCTGGTCATGGTAATAAGTATTGGAAGTTCTTTTGCCTTTTTGCTAAAAGAAATCAAGCTCACTTACAAAATAACTATTTAACAATGCAGGAATTGACCCTTTTCTTCAGAATTATATTTCTTGAGGGCAAATTTATAGCTCAGAGCTGGGGAGGGCCACTTACACTTCTAGTCAGGTGGCCGGCAATAATAAACATAACTAGCTTGAAACAATGTTGGTAAGGTACATAACTATCCAGGCTGGGGTTTGTAGTGATAAGCAGTGTTACTAAATGAATGTTACAAGCTATGGTCTTGTGCTTGGTCAGATATTCTCACTTAAAGGCATTTCCTGTCCCTAAAAATAGCTGAGATCTCAACCATTTCAGATAGTTGTTCAGAAAAAAAGCTTACAACAGTACACACTGTTCATGTATCAGTTTATTTTGTTTGTCATGCCTTCCTATGGCTTGGTAATCTATAAAGCATCCTAAATTTTCTGTTTCTTAGCAATGTTTTTTGGCTACCCCCACTAAATAGGCTCAGAAGGACTTTGTGTACATTGTGGTATATGTATGAATTGTTCCTTACATTTTTCTGCGGTGCCCTCTGTGCATTGTTACATTTGAAGAATTTTTAAAGAAATGAAGAGCAGGTTATTATCTTTAACAATTGAACCATATGGGAACTGGATAATTCAGGTTTATTCTTGATGAATTTTAGCTTGTTCCTCAGTTTGCATCAAACTGTTTGACCTATCAAGTCTGCAGTCCCAGTTTAGTTCCCTTGAGACTCCTGTCCACTATGTCACAATAACAGTAGTACCAAAACAGTCACAATTGGTGCTTGCTAACCCTCTCCCTGCACCAGGAAGCTTATGGGAATTATCCAGTTCCCATCAGTTTATAGATTGAATCAACTTTTCCCCCAGATAATTGGTCTCTCTAGGACAAAATCATTGGGACACATTGACAGCTTATTTTGGGGAAGCTTCCTACTTGTACATAACCTGTTTGGTCAATAAAGGGATTTTTTTTCCTGAACATGAGCATTTAATTCTCTAATAATTTTTTTTTAAAAAGTTACACTGAGCACTCTTGCTTGTTAGATTACTATCTTTGTTTTAGCTCATGATGATACACTCATCAAAAGCATGAGTTTACAAACTGTTTTTCTGCCAATCCTGCATGCTCTTCCTGGGAATTGAATGAGGAGTCCTGTGGCACCTATCGACTAACAGATTTATTTGGCTTTGGGTAAGAACCACTTTGTCAGATGCATCTTTATGATGCCACTGGACTCCTCATTGTTTTTGCAGGTACAGTCTAATATGGCTAGCCCTCTGAGACTTGGGATTTGAATGTCATTCTGGGTCTTCCCTTCTTTGAACATCTCCACAGTTCATAAATGCTTTGTAGGCAAGATGTACAAGACAGAATAGAATCTTTCTTAGCTATATTGTTTTTGTAGGTCCAACAAAAACTGAGGTCTGTACATCTGAGTTACTCTGAGTGGCCTGTCGTTTCCTGTAGCTCCTTTTTGCAACTATGGGCTTAGAATCATAGAACCATAGAGCTGGAAGAGACCTCAGAAGGTCATCAAGTCCAGCCTCCTGCTCTAGGCAGGACGAATCCCAACTAAATCAACCCGGCCAGGGCTTTGTCAAGCAGAGACTTAAACACCTCTAGTGATGGAGACTCCACTACTTCCCTAGGTAACCCATTCCAGTGCTTCACTACCCTCCTAGTGAAATAGTTTTTCCTAATATCCAACCTGGACCTCTCCCACCACAACTTGAGACCCTTGCTCCTTGTTCTGCCATCTCCCACTACTGAGAACAGCCTTTCTCCATCCTCTTTGGAACCTCTCTTCAGGAAGTTGAAGGCTGCTATCAAATCCCCCCTCAGTCTTCGCTTCTGCAGACTAAACTGACCCAACTCCCTTATCCTCTTCTCATAAGTCATATGCTCCATCCCCCTAATAAGTTCGGTTGCCCTCCACTGGATCCTCTCCAATGCGTCCACATCCTTTTTGTAGTGGGGGGCCCAGAAACTGGACACACTATCTCTAGATGTGGCCTCACCAGAGCCGAATAAAGGGGAATAATGACCTCTCTGGATCTGCTGGCAGTGCTCCTCTTAATGCAACCTAATATGCATTAGCCTTCTTGGCTACAATGGCACACTGTTGACTCATATCCAGCTTCTCATCCACTGTAACCCCCAGGTCCTTTTCTGCAGAACTACTTGTTAGCTGGTTGGTCCCCAGCCTGTAACAATGCTTGAGATTCTTCCATCTCAAGTGCGGGACTCTGCACTTGTCCTTATTGAACCTCATCAGATTTCTTGTGGCCCAATCCTCCAATTTGTCTAAGTCACTCTGGACCTTATCTCTGCCCTCAAGCATATCTACCTCTCCCCATAGCTTAGTGTCATCCCGTAAACTTGCTGGCTGTGTCTAGACTGCCATGATTTTCCACAAATGCTTTTAATGGAAAAGTTTTTTTCATTAAAAGCATTTGCGGAAAAGAGCATCTAGATTGGCACAGACGCTTTTGCGCAAAAGCACTTTTTGCTGAATAGCGTCCGTGCCAATCTTGACGTGGTTTTGCGCAAGAAAGCTCCAATTGCCATTTTCGCCATCGGGGCTTTTTTGCGCAAAACAGTTTTTACCTGTCTACACTGGCCCTCTTTTGCAAAAGCATTTGCGCGAGAGGGCTTATCACTGAGCGGGAACATCATAGTATTTGTGCAAGAACACTGACAATCTTACATTAGCAGCTGCTTTTGCGGAAAAACTTGGCAGTCTAGACGCAGCCGCTGAGGGGGCAATCTATCCCCTAATCCAGGTCATTAATAAAGATATTGAACAAAACCGGTCCTTTAACCGAACCCTGGGGCACTCCGCTAGAAACTGACCGCTTACACCAGTAGTTTTCAGCTTGTGGTCCACAGACCACTGGGGTCCTGCAGACTATGTGCACTTCCATTTGAAATTTTTAGGGGTCTGCAAATGTAAAAAAGTTTTGAAAATCACTGGGTTAAACAAATTTGTTAATTAATACTTATTTTTACCTAATTTAAGATTACAAGTTTTACTTTATACAGGAAAAAAACCCTGAAATCTATGATTTTTTTAAAACAAAATTGGAGATCATGATTTTCCATATTAGCCCGAGTACCACGTCTGTTTTATCTACTGTTGTGCTTGTCTTGCTCATCCCTTAATCTTACTTCATGTTGTCTAATATTTCCCATTCACTCTGTCTAAATGCAGCATCTGCTGTCTTTTCAGTGAAAGTCTTTTGGTCAGAAAATAAATCATGCAGATGATATATTTATACAAATTCAATTGTAATCAATTTTTTCCCTTAGGAAACTCGTAGGGTGTATCAGTTTCATTATGTGAACTGGCCTGATCATGATGTTCCTTCATCTTTTGATTCTATTCTGGACATGATCAGCCTAATGAGAGAATACCAGGAGCATGAAGATGTGCCTATTTGTATACACTGCAGGTACCAAAAATATTTAATATTTCTTTGAAGTTGTATGTTTGGTACAAGAATTACATGTGTGTATTTAATTTTGAAATGGTACTCTTTTAGCTCGCTGTTAGACCCTATCATTCTAGACAGTATTCAGGATTATGTATACATTAATATATGGCTAAGTGAACACTTGGGGTATGTCTACACTACCGCGCTAGTTCAAACTAGCGGGGGTAATGTAGTCATCCGCAGTTGCAAATGAAGCCCGGGATTTGAATTTCTCGGGCTTCATTTGCATGAAGCTGGCCGGCGCCATTTTTAAATGCCGGCTAGTTCGGACCCCGTGCCGCGTGTAGCCGCGCGGCATGGACTAGCTAGTTCGGATTAGGCTTCTTGAGGTGTACAGCTAGTTCAGATTAGAAGCCTAATCCGAACTAGCTAGTCCATGCCGCGCGGCTACACGTGCCCCATGTAGCCGCGCTGCACGGGGTTCGAACGAGCGGGGATTTAAAAATGGCGGCGCCCCGCTTATGCAAATGAAGCCCAGGAAATTCTAATCCCGGGCTTCATTTGCAACTGCGGATGACTACATTACCCCCGCTAGTTCGAACTAGCGGGGTAGTGTAGACATACCCTTACATAGTCTTAAAATGCAGCCCAAGGTTGCCATCTCTATCTTCAAGTGAAGGACTAAGGCCAAAGCTGTTTCTAAGGTGAAGTATTAGAATGTCTTACGGACAAAGTGCTAAGAAGTAATAGGTCTTTATGCATTTGTTAACTTGTATGCATCCCTTGGTCTGCAGTTTCTGCTTCAGGACACTGTCGTCTAGCAGTGCCCACTACTTGGTTCTTCACCTTTTCGGTGATACTGACAGTCCTGAGTCCGCATAAACACCTGAGTGGCCAACTGTGGCCCCAAAGTCTAGTCCTTTTGCTTCGGGCAAACTGCAATCTGTAAATGTCACACTCTTGTGGCAGGGTATCAGGCTGGAGCTTTTCTTCAGCTCCCCTGAGTTTTCCCAGCACTTCTCTGTACAAGGTGCTGCTGGTTCCCTCCTACTGGTGCACAGTTCCTTCTCCCTTGCTGGTCATGATGACTTTGAGCTCCCCTCAGCTATGCAGCCTTTTATAGGACCCAGCCTGGCCTTGATTTGCTGACTGCTCCTTGCCATGATTGGCCAGGTTTGCACAGGCTTTCTCTGGCCTGCTTTTAACCCTCCCTTTTGGCATGGGCTACAGCACCATTACAGATTAAAACATGCAACTTGTTATAGGCTGACTTTTTGATTTTGCAGTGCTATTGCAAAGCAAAACACAGCCAAAGAAATGTATAGCAAAATGGTTACAAAAATAATATTTATTATCAAGTAATATCAATCAAGGGATGTTGGATATCGAAGAATAGAATAGTTGACTAACTGCATGAATTCTTAGTGGTTAGCCGACACTTGTGTAGTCCCCAGGGATGGGACTGGCAGCCAAATGTTCTTCAGTCCTACTCCTGAGAGCCAGTCCATGAGTGAAGCTACAGGGTGGCAGGCGGAGCTTAAAAATTGGCTCTCCCACACAGATTGGCTCTTGCCTGTCACCGCACACTGCTGCCTCTGATATAGAAGCAGCAGCATGGGGTAACAGCAGCCTCTGTTCATAAGGGGCCCGAGTTCCCTGTGGACAGAGGCAGCTCTAGCCTTTGTGGGGAGCTCGGATCCCCCATGGACAGGGGCTTCTGTTGGGGACCAGCCTCTAGCAAGCTGTGGCCCACCATGGGCAGAGACTGCTTTGCGGCAGCCTCCCCTCCCCCGTCTCCTCACCCCCACGATGCTGCCTCTGATAGTCAGCAGCATGAGGGAGGGGAGGCAGGCAACACTGTGGAGCCAGTGCTGGGGGGGAACCGGCTTTTAAGCCGGCTCCTCTCCCACCAGTTCCTGTTTCCTCCTTTTCCCCACTTGCTGCCTCTGATACAGAGGCAGCAAGCTGGGGGGAATGCGAATAGTCCAAATGATTAATTAATAAGCATAGGCTTATCAGTTAATCTAGTCATTAACTACTTGGTGACATCCCTAGTAAGAATGTTCCTATACATTTTCATAGCATGCAATAGATAGATTAGGATCAACAAACTCTGCTATGCTGTGAAATCTAAAATTATTTGCTTAGCCAGTGCATTGATGCATAAAATAAACACTAAATGTAAATGTCAAATCTGCTTGAAATTCAGAACAGTAAGTCTTATTTAATATACAAGTAAGGTTTCTTGCCTTGTTGATGAGACTACAGTAGTGTTCATTTAGCAAATCCATTAATTGTAATAGTTCTGGGTTGCTCTGATGAATGACTTCTAAATCTGTGCAGGATTAAGCATAATATAAAATTGAGGCTTATGCAATTGTCATTGTATTTCTTAAAAGAATAAATGCTAAAGAAGCAATGAATATACCAGAAAAAGCAAAGATAAAATCACCTATCTAAACATTTGAACTTCCCAAAAGTGTGAAAATTTCCCTCCCCCACTGACAAAAAAACTGGATATTTGAAGCCCTACATCCTAGACCACAGCAGCTCTGTAGCTGCTGTTGCAGTACCTCTTGGAGGACTCAAACATTTACTTTATTGACCCACAAAATTTAAACTCTTCTTGCAATATCTAAAGGGTATGTATTTAATTATATTATCTACTAGGTTATGATTAATAAATCTGTATGATTTGGATTCCCTTTAATACTCTTCATTTTAATGAAAATGCTACTTAGGAGCCTTATTATCAAGCTCTAGTACATTTTTTTCTTTAAAACTTATGATAGTGGTATAATAATAAAATAATATACTGCTATAATAAAAATATTCTTTCTTTCTCTCTTTCTCTCTTTCTTTCTTTCTCTCTTTCTCTCTTTTATTTATATCTATATCTATATATAGATATAGATATAGATATAGATATATGAATTCCAATCTCTTTTGTACATTGGGAGAGAATTAACCCTAAGTATAGATATGACCATTGACTTTGCAGCTTTAAATATAATTCTTTGAACACGCCTTTGATTGTGATCAGTGTTTATGTAAATTATATAGGAGGGGTTAATTCTGTAAACCTTTTGGGGATGCTTTCTGGTATACAAGTGTGTTTCTACTTGGAAATGATAACCGTGCTCTTTATTTAGCAGATGTGCTATCTTTGTGTATTCAGTTGTCAACCAACATTAGTGACAGAGTTTTTACTATTTTTTAGTCCTATTTAGTGCTGAGAGAGTGAAATTGCATCTTCTACTTGAGCATCAACAGAAGTGCTAACTAAGTTTCAACCAGTTGCATCAATGTAATGAAGATGCATAGGCTTTTAATAATAAATTAATTATTGCTTATGAAGCATGGTAGGGAAGAAAACTAAGTTTGTGTTTTGAGTTCAGTATAAAATAAGTCTCTTGTAAACTGAGCACACTTGGTATAGAAATCATTTTAGGACAGAATACACATGGAAATCTATTATTCCATTTTACACATGGAAATCTATTATTCCATTTTTCATCACTTTTCAAAGGAGAACATCGTTTCAAAGATGGTCAGTTCCATTGATTAGGAAGCAACACAAAGCATGTGTTACCAGGTTATCAAGAAAATAAATGTAAAGTGTAAAGTTTTTATATTGTCTTTTCCTCTACATAGCCATCCTATAGTGCTTGAACTGTTAGATCAGTTACGTAGTATTATTTTACTATATAGAACAGGAAAAAATACTTCACGTTCTACTAAATCATTTCTTTTGTTGGCTAGGTAAACATAATACTTGCAATAAAATAGTCATGGTTTAAATACATTAAGAGCTGGCTTAACAAAGATATTTGAGGACTTACATATTAAGTAGGTAGTGATATTTTACCTTGATTTTGTAAAAATGAAAATATTAAGTCTATAAAACTGACATAAAGTAACTTAATCGTTGTCAAAAAACTGAGTAACTGTTTATGTCCATAGTGCAGGGTGTGGAAGAACTGGAGCCATCTGTGCCATAGATTATACATGGAATTTGCTAAAAGCTGGGGTAAGGAAGATTTATAGTAATATAACTTACTGTAGAATTAGGTCATATTTTATACCAGTGATTAAAATTAAATTTCTAACTTGCTGAGAAGTAACTGAATCAGAAATTTCAAATGTTTGAAGTATATTAAAAATTGGCTTTAGACGACTTATGAAAGCACTTTTTCTTACATCAACAAAACAAAACCCCAAACCTATCCAGTCTCAGAATCTAAGTATATTAAGGTAAAATGACAAACAATAAAATGCAAATAGTACTTAGTTTTGAGTACATTGACCAAAATGCTGATCTGAAGTGCTGATTCTTGAATTAATTACATAGATTATATTTTTCAATGTCTACAAATACACTGCAGAGTGTGTTTACTCATTTTTTCTGAAAGGATTTCTTATAGCATCTTAGTCACTCTGCAGTTACCTGTTTTTATATTTCCCATTGAGATTTTTAGGTTCATCATTAAGCAAAGAGCTATGATGATAGGTTGCCATAATGGCAGTGTGTCAGATGCTTCTACCAAGAGTGTCTCATTTTCAGAATCAATCTCCAAAATATTTGTGTGATCCTTCAGTGAAATAGTTCTAAATACCAGTTATGAAGGAATTGTTGCTCTAAATGACTCGAGTAAGATTTATTTTCATGGAGGGAATGGGTCAGCTTTCTAAAAAGGAAGTAAGGCATGCTGTGGTAGTTACTTGAAAAATTGGTCTGACATATTTTAAATCACTATGTTCATGATCTATTGTTTTATAGAAAATAACATAACTTCACCCTGTATTTCAGAAAATACCGGAAGAGTTCAATGTATTCAATTTAATACAAGAAATGAGGACACAAAGACATTCTGCGGTGCAGACCAAGGTATATTTTTCTGTAGGGTAGACTTGGACTTTGTTGTGCCCTTTTTTTAAAAGAGTCTTGTACATTAATCATAATTTTTAACATGCATACAATAGGAGCAGTATGAACTTGTCCATCGAGCCATAGCACAACTGTTTGAAAAGCAACTACAGAAATATGAGAGTGTCACAGACTGGAAGATTGCTGATGGAGTGGTATGTTTTTCTATGACATATAGGTTTTCAGTTAAAGTTATAGCTTTTTACCCACAGTTTTTAGTTTTACTGTGCTTTCTGTCCTTGACCTTGTCTTACATATTTTTGTGGTGATAAGTTCAGCATTTAATGTCTTTCTTGTTTGTGGCCACGTGGACTGTGTAAATGTCTCTTAGCAGGCTTGTACTCTGCTTGCTCTGGCAAATTGATTTTGGAAGCAAAAAGCCACTTATCTGTGTTAAACATTTAAAGGGGATTTTTTTAACTGCTTATCATGAATGCAACTCCAGTACTACTAGTAATAGTAGAACTCTAGCTTAGACAGGCAACTCTTAGCATTTGAAACACCCCATGTGAGAATCTTGCTCTTAGCTTGGTTAGGTAAGAGGGTAAAACTCCAGCAGCAGGTTGAACCTCACTAGTCCGGCACCCTCTGGATCTGGCGTGTGCCAAAGCAGAGAATTTGCCGAACCACGGGAGGTCAATATTGTCTAGCAACATTACCAACACGGCCACTGCTTACGGGGTTCTCAGAAGACATTTAGGATAAATTAGAGCTAAATAACAGTACAGAACACTGAGAGCCAGGACTGGTGGCTCTGCACAAACTTTATGGGACTGTGGGTAACTTGTTCATGCTCATGATAAATAGACATCTAGTAACTGAAATCATGCCAGACAACGGATGTTGCCAGACCAGAAAGTGCTGGACTAAATAGGTTCAATGGTAGTTCTTTCTTTGGCTGCTACTGGTGGTAATATTGTTGAGAAACAACACCTGGACTACTAGATATTAACTATAAAAATGATGTGGTGAATAAAGCCAGTTAAAGGGAGCAAATAAAATGTAAATCAAAGTTTATCCAAGAAAAACTTTAGTGCGATAATTTATCCTCTGACCAGTTTAATAATCTACTATATATTTTTGATTGTCTCTGTCTATTCAAGATCTCCTTCTAAATGTAAGAGCTAGGACCACTAAATTTAGTGTGCAGCTTCCTCTCACCATAATTTAAAGCAAGTAAGGGTTTGGTTGTGCCAAGAAAATGGGATGTTCCTGGAATGGGATTTTCTCATAAAACTATACAGGAAAAAAGACAGAATCACCAGACAGGTGAAAAGGGCTAGCTGTGGGAGCCTCCCAATACCAGGTGTCTTTTTATAGGGGTGCTGAAATCCCCTCCAATTCATATAGGAACATTGCTGTCTGTTTTCCCTTGGTCAGGGGAAAGTGCACAGTTTGCTGCATTCCTCAATTTGGTTGGGAAGCACAGAGGGCAGATGAACCTGGACCTGCCCAAGCCAGGGGTCATGCACCTCTCCCCCTCCTGAGCCTGTGGGAGCTGCAGTAGCCATGGACAGTCACTTCTCCCCTGGCCCTAAGCTATTGCTGTGAGCGAGGGATGGGACAGTCTTCTTGCCACACAGCAGCTTGCATACTGAACCCATCATTCCTACCCCCACCCCAGAACAATGATTTAAATGAAGTATGTACGTTTTTATTTGATTTTCTCCCCCCTCACCCCCCCCAAAAAAAACACAAATTGAGTTAAGGACCCAAGCAATGCCAGGTACGTCTTCTGGTTACAAGTAAAGGTGGGAAAGGCATAACAGTTCATTAATTTTCATTAATTTTCAAAACTCTTGAATGGACAAATTAACTTTCCATTTTCCCTTTTTTTCCCCCCTCACTGACTGTGTCTACACTGGCACCTTTTTCCGGAAATGGTTAAAACGGAACAGTTTTCCATTATAAGTATTTCCAGAAAAAGAGCGTCTACATTGGCAGGATGCTTTTCCGGAAAAGCCCTTTTTCTGGAAAAGCGTCCGTGGCCAATGTAGACGCGCTTTTCTGGAAAAAAGCCCCGATCGTCATTTTTGCGATTGGGGCTTTTTTGCGGAAAAGACTACTGTGCTGTCTACACTGGCCCTTTTCCAGAACAGTTTTCCAGACAAAGGACTTTTGCCCGAGCGGGAGCAGCATAGTTTTTCCGGAAAAGCAGCTGATTTCTTACAGTAAATCGTCACTGCTTTTCCGGAAATTCAAGGGACCAGTGTAGACAGCTCGCAGCTTATTCCGGGAAAAGCGGCTGCTTTTCTGGAATAAGTGGCCCAGTGTAGACACAGCCACTGTGTTTTAAAATACAGCAGTGTGTTAAGGGCTTACAATTTAAACTAGTTAAATGTGGAGATCGGAGTACTGGGTTAGGTGATAGCATTTTCTATGAATGTTAGCAATTATCACAAGCATCATGTTTTTGTTTAGATATATTTGTAACTGCCAGGCATGGGCCTGAAGAGCAAGCCCTTACTCAATGAGGAGGGAAAGTCAGGATGGGTGGGACTGGAGATCAAGCTCATATCAGGCATCAGAAGCTCCTATATCCCTCATTGCTTGGCTACAGTGAAAGGGGCAAGTGGACCAACCTGAATGGTGCTGCAACCTTATACATCAGCTTCTTTTAAAACTTTGCTTAGCACCAGGTTCTCCCCAGCACTAGTCACATCCTCTTTTCTCCTTGATAATCTCATTGTGCCTCACAATTTGAATACCTCTGCTTTGAATTCAATCCATCTCTTGCAAGTATTGTTTCTACACAGGAACTTTGTGATGGCATAGGCGTGTCCATTTGCTTTCCCAGACTACTGCTTTTTGCAGAGGGGAAACCTTACAGTAGGGAATGACCACTGTGTACACAAGGTTTGTGCAGACTCCATACTTAAAGCATTATTTTTCTCCCCTCTCAAGTCCCAGAGAATTCCAACCTCCACGAGCTCTTCCTTTGGTGATGTGCGGGAACCTTATTCTGCTCCTTGGAGGAAAATATTGGTACCAATGTTACTGTAAGCTGTGAATTTGTGTGGCTGCTCAGGAGAAATTCATATGCTTTCAAGCTGATTAGCAAAGTGCCCATAACTAGGTGTTTTGTTTCTACTTGTGCACATTTTCACATATCTTGCTATACATAAAAATGCATTCCACATATGGCTGGACAAGAATAGAGGGAATATTGTTGGGTACGTTCTGTGTTGGGATGCTGGACCCAACAGAGATAGTGTTCCCTCTAATTTTTTTGTCCATGTGTGGAACTAATTTTGTTTGTGCACCCATATGGAGAGGATGTGCGACACATCACCTCCATATTGGTGCACATAAAATTAATTCTGCACATAGATGATCTGTGGTGTGGGTGAGGCTGAGGGGTTCAGCATGGGCAGGGGGCCAGATTTGGGGGGGGTAAAGGTTCCAGCTGGGGGTATGGGCTCTGGGCTGGGGCTGGGGACACGGTGTTTGGAGTTCAGGATGGGGCCCCAAACTGAATCCAGGGGCTTTGGATTGTGGGAGTGGGCCCAGGGCAGGAAATAGGGGTGGGATGTGGGTGGGAGTTGGGGTGCAGAAGGTGGCTTAGGGTTGGAGTGTGGAGTCTAATAGGGAGCTATGTTGGTGGAGAGGGCTCAGGGCTGGGTCTTTGGGTTGAGGTGTGGCATTTGGGTTGATATATTGAAGTCTGAGGGAAGAAAATATGTCTACTGTTCCAAGTGTCTGACATTACCAGCGATCACTCAGATTTGTGACCCTTTGTTTACAGTATAGGGCCTCATCCAAAGTGGTGGTGATAGCAGCATATCTACTAATATTAAACTCATTGCCTGAATGAACAGACACGGAGATAAAGCAAAGTCTCTATAGGATGCAGATGGAAACAGGCCTGAAAATGTCTCACTTGTCGTTAATAGTTCTTAGATTCCCATCTCAGTGAATTGTGCGCGCGCACATTTGGAATGGTGTGATTCCCCATCTCAGGGAAGGGTTCAGAAACTGGAAACATTTTCTTTTCTTCCTGAATCGGTGAATCTTCCCCATCTGGTTATGTATGTCATTTCTGAGCAGGCCAAGTTATGCCAAGACCATAAAGTAGTAGTGGCTGCTTTTTTCATTTCTGAAACTTTAAATAGCATGTCTTACAGTTCATACTGTCAATAAGGGTGCATCTATTCACTCAGGTAACACCTGGTATTAGTATAGGAAGAAGGGTAGCATAAGATGATGATCAATCTTTCACTTGTAGAACACATTACTTGGTGATCCAACAGCCCCAATAAGGATAGGGATGGGTGTTAATGTGTTTAAGCAGTTTAAGAAGAAACAAACTCGGTCTGCTTTGGTCATGTCTAGGGAAACCTGGCAGATAATAAAAATGGTAGACTGGGTACATTTTTGAATGCTTTCACTAGTTTCACTGGAAGTATAGGCTTTGAGCTGTTTTGGTTTGAGTTCAAGTTCATTGTTCTGAATTAGACCTAAATTGTCTCTTAATATAAAATGCATACATCCTAGGATAGGTACTTCTGCTGTCACAGTATATTTCTATGCAGATTTGATGTACTTCAGGTTAAACTAAAAAGATGCCTAGCAGTTATATGAAAGCTTAGAATCATAAACTCATAGAACTGGACGGAACCTCGAGAGGTCATCAGGTACACTCCCCTGCAGTCATGGCAGGACCAAGCAGTACCTACACCATTGACTGGTGTTCGTCTAACCTGCTCTCAAAAATCTGCAATGATGGAGATTCTACAACCTTGCTAGGCAATTTAATACAGCATTTAACCACCCTTACAGGAAGTTTTACCTGATGTCCAACCTATACATTGCTTGGCTGCAATTTAAGCCCATTGATGCTTGTTCTATCGAGAGACGAGAATATTTTTTTTCTCCTTCCTCCTTGTAAAAACCTTTTAGGTACTTAGAAAGCTGTTGCCATGTCCCCCTCAGTCTTCTCTTTTCCAGACTAAACAAACACAGATCTTTCAGTCTTCCTCTTTTTCTAGGCCTTCAGTAATTTTTGTTGCTCTTCTCTGGACCTTCTCCTATTTGTCCATGTCTTTCCTGAAATGTAGTGCCCAGAACCGGATATAATACTCCAGCAGAGGCCTAATCAACACGGAGTACATCAGAATAATTACTTCTCGTGTCTTGCTTACTGAACTCCTGTTAA